ATTTTTGTTGATTATTGTCATTATTGACTTTATCATCATTGTTAAGATCATCATCATTATCAATATCATTATCCTTATCATTATTATTATTAAATTGGTCTGCGCAATTAGATGAATCTTTTTCTACTCAAGGCTGTGTGTGTTGTCAGCAGAAGGTACTATGCTGTTTCTTGTACTTCCTTGGACCGTCTCAAGGGACCTTTGGCAGCCGAGGATCCTTTCGTCTTGGAAACACTCAGGAACCACTACCTCCTCCCCCCTCCTTCGGGATCCTACAACCTCACGTCCCTCGACAAGAAGGACAGGCTCATCCACGACCGTCTCGGCTGGGACTTCATCCACCGCCACGTGAGGCAGTTGTTCGCGCAGCAACGCGGCGGCTTCTTCGTGGAGGCGGGCGCCCTGGACGGCCAGTTCATCTCCAACACCCTCTGGCTGGAGAAGGAGCGGGGCTGGACGGGCCTCCTGATCGAGCCCGACGCCCTCAGCTTCCGGCACCTGCAGTGGCGCAGGCGAAGGGCCTGGATCTCCCACAGCTGCATCGCCCCGGGCCAGCACCCGCGAGAGGCCGTCTTCGAGTCCATGCAGAGCAGAGTGCATGTCCCGACGTCCGTGTGGATGTTCCGATCCAACACGAAGGAAATCGACACCCCCTTCGCAGCCATCGAGGACGAGCTCGGCTTCTTCTCCTCCAAGTCCTACTCGAAAGTCCAGTGCTTCCCTCTCGCGTCCTACCTCGCGGCCCTCAACGTCTCCAAGGTGGACTTCCTCTCCCTCGACATCCAGGGCGGGGAGTGGGAGGTGATCCACTCTCTCCCGCTCGACAGGATAACCATAAGGGCCATGGCGGTCGAGTACTTCAACACGAGAGCGGACGAGAGCAGAAGGATGGCGCGGGACGAGGCTTTTGTGTCCTACATGAAGGATCTAGGATACATCCTCCTCGCCCTGGACGACCTCGCGAACTACATTTTCGTTCTGGCCCGCGATCCTGCCCTGGAACCCTCGCTCGACCCTCGAAGCAACACGACCCTGGCCCGAAATGAGAGCGCTGCTTGAGGTCCATCCTACGCTGAGGAGGACTCGTACATCCTCAGGTTGTTTTTCTTAAATCATCCTAAACTTTATCGCTTCTTTCGCATATCATCTCATGTATTTTTATCTTCATCTCCAGACGTATGATGTGATCTAAAGTTGTATTATCTAATGATATATTATCATAGCATTCTAGAATTAATAAAATAATATATTTTGTCATATGATGTACGACCTAACCTAACGTACACATACAAACACCATACCTACACATAACTGCATATGGAGGCGAGGACAGGTAGGGGCTGGTGTGTGTGTGTGTGTGTGTGTGTGTGTGTGTGTGTGTGTGTGTGTGTGTGTGTGTGTGTGTGTGTGTATGTGTGTGTGTGTGTGTGTGTGTGTGTGTGTACAGAAACACACGGCAATAACAACAGTAACGGTAAAAAAAAAAAAAAAAAAAAAAAAAAACAGCACAAACCCACTTTCCATTTTCCAAATCACGCTGATTATGTCAGTGTCATACTCTTTCTTGTTTTTCCTTTTCATTCTGTATTTCTCCGTATTTCTCCATCCGTCACAGATTCCTCAACCGCTATGTCAACCTCAACTTGCTGTCGCTTGCAATGACAGCATTCCGAGTAGAGAGTGAATGTTGCATGCTCTCCCACGGTCAGTGATAGACTTTTGCAATGAACAGCTCGTTCTTCTTCTCTTTCTTTTCTTTTCTTCTGTTCCTTCTTCGTCTTCTCCTTCTTCTTCTTCTTTTTTCTCTTTTTTTTTTCTTCTTTCTCTTCTTTTCTCTTCTTCTTCGAGCTTCTTCTTCCTTCTTTCTTCTTCTTCTTCTTCTTCTTCTTCTTCTTACTTCTTCTTCTCTTCTCTTCTTCTTCTTCTTCTTCTTCTCTTCTTCTCTTCTTCTTCCTTCTTTCTTCTTCTTCTTCCTTCTTCTTCTTTTCTTCTTCTTCGTCTCTTCTTCTTCTTCTCTTCTTCTCTTCTTCTTCTCTTCTTCTCTTCTTCTTCTTCTTCTTCTTCTCTTCCGTTCGTTCTTCTTCTTCTTTCTTCTTCTTCTTCTCTTCTCTCTTCTTCTTCTTCTTCTTCTTCTTCTTCTCTCTTTCTCCTCGTCCTTCCCTCTGATCTCTTAGTTTGTTTATCCTCCTCCTTTTTTTTCTTTTCTCTTCCTCCTCCTCTTTTCTCTTTTCTTCTCTTTTCCTCTCCTCCTCTTCCCTCTTTTCCGTTTTTTCTGCTCCCCTCATCTTCTTTCTCCTTTCCCCATTTTCTCCTCCTTCTCCTCTCTCTTCCTCCTCCTATCCTCTCTTCGCTCTCCTTCCTCATTCATCTCCCCCCTTCCTTCTCTCATTCTCCTCCTTCCCCTCTCCTCTCTCATCCTCCTTATCCACCCTCTTTCTTCTGTCTTCCCCCTTCCTCCCTCTTTTCACCAGTTCCTTCCATCCCCAATTTCCCCCCTCCC